AAGCAAAGCTAAAAAATTTAAATAGCCAGACATTTAAAATCTTTTTTAAAAAGCTACAGTTAGTAAAATTGTGTGCTATTAGCACAAGGATAGAAAAAGACTAATGGATCCAAATGGTGAAAACAAAAGACACCCTGTACCCCATCCATGTGTCCCTTGGCCTATAAAAAGAGGAGCTGGCCATGAGCAAGGGCATGGCCCAGGAAAGAGCATAGGCAGGAGCCGGCTGTGGGCTGTGCCCCTCGGCAGCTCTACCTCCCGAGCTGCCTGTGTCCACACTGTACCCCTCCAGTTTGCCTTCTGCAGAGCTGGGAAAGGGTGATCTCGGCCTGACCTGAGCTCTCTGGCCCATTTCTGAGGTGCTCAGATTGCACCGTGATTTAGCCAAACCTGTCACTTCCCTCTTTGGCAGGCTCCAGGACCAAGAGCTTAAATCCGAACACTGCCCAGCACTCTCAGAAAAGCATGCTAAGTTCGATGGCTGGGATGTATCTTCCAAGTTCACAATGAGGATTTTAGTTCCCAGGGCAGCAGAGCTGGCTTGGGGTGGGTCTTCACCCCCAGAGTTGGCCAGTTCCAGGAAAACGGTGATTGTAAAACTGGTCTGCTCCTTTCACCTGTCTCTCCTGTACCTGCATGAGCCAGCAAGACCAAAGCTGTGTCCTTGGCCTTCCCAGGCTCCATAGCAGCGAGCTCATCTTCTCTTTTTTTTCAGAAAGGACCCCCCTCTGCATTGTTCTGTTACGGAGACAGAAAAGGCCAGCCAGTAGCCTGGAGGTCTCCTGATGGGACACTCAGCGTGGAACCCCTCCTTATGAAACTGACTGGCCGCTTGGAGAAGGCAAGGATAATTTATTATGCTTCTCTAGACAGCAAACTCCCAGAAAGTGCAGCACCAGATTTGTTTCTCTATATCCAGAGCACAGCTCGAAACAGATGCTTTTGAGCAAGTGAAGGGACTAAGAGACCTGGAGAGGAGAGAGAGGAAGAGGACAGAGGGAGAGGGCTGGGTGAGCTCCCATTCCGCCTGGCTGGGTTTTCTTCCCGTTGGCCTCACTATTGGACTTAAAGGGCATTTAAAATCCTCTTTTCCCTTAAGAAAGGCTGGGAGCAGTTTCCTCCCTCCTTTCACATCTGTCTGTGGTAGTTGTTCCTTTGGAAGCCTGGCCCATAGCTTTCTGCCGGGTAGGATGGAAGCCCCCTTCCCTCTGGGAAAGCCTGTCAGGGTCTCAGACTCAGACAGCTGTGCATTTACAGCATTTGCCCAGTACCACCCGCCCTGTGAGGCCTTTGCTTTTCAAGCTGAATGTTTATACAACTTCCTCTTCTGTAATTTTCAAGTTAGGCGTTTCTGGAAGGCAGGCTGATGTCACCGGGACTCATTCCAGATGTTGTTTTGAAACCATGTAACCATGGCAGTGCTGGAGGCTGCTGAGTTTGTCTGGGCCAACTGAGTCACGCCCGACTGCAGGGCTACCCAGGTTGGGGCAAGGAGGGGGTCAGCTGGGCAGGAACCTGAGAGCCTTTGCTGGAAGTGTGGGGAGCTTGCATGACGCTGACAGCCTCCGAAAAGGACGCTGGTACCAGCTGTACCCTTTGCCTTCTCTGACCTGGAATCTTCACCACGGCATCTGCTTGGACACCAGGACTCCCGCCTGTCACAGTTCACTAGTGGACCTTTAGGAATCACCTGCTGCTTTCAAAGGAACAAAAGACCTCTCAGCCCAAGCTGCCCCCACCCAGTCACTCCTTCCTCAAACTTGACTCGTCCGCCTCACTGCCGGGCCTCAGGCACTGGTCCCTTGCACACGACCACCGCTCTCCTGGTCCTGGAGCCTCCTGCTTCCCACAGCCACTGCCACAGGATGCCTCTCCCCAAATCGAGGTGCACCCTGGCACATCTGCCCCTCACCCCGGCCACATTGGGAGCCACCTGTTGTTCCCATCTTCATCCTCTGTCCCTGAGTGTGGCACGTGGAAGGGACCCAGTAAGAGCTACTGGCCTCATTAAGTACTTACTCAGAGTCAGCTCCTGGATCCTTAAAAAAATAGGAATAATTGTATTTATCAAGCAATCGCTACGTGGGTTGTACTGGGGTAGCTGGGCTTTCTTATGTGACTGTCACAACTCTATCTTCATAAAGCCCAAATGAGGTTTAAGCTATTAACATCCCTAATTTAGTAGGTGACAAAAGTGTGACTCAGAAAGGTAAAGTGAACAGTCCAGGGTCACACGGTCAGGAGTGAGACTCCAAGCCAGACCATCACAAGGAAGGAGCCCACATCCCTAGGCCCTGTGCCACGGCATGCCCTGAAAACACCAATCCTGCTATGACTGTCCCCCTCTTAGGGCTTTGGGGAACCAAGGAAAGCAACATAAGAGCTGTGAATTTTTTTTTTTAAATCACAGTGTGCAGCATCTGAGGATCACAAAAAGATGGACACAGTGAAAAA